TTTAGATTAACAGTGAAATGCCACCTCAGGTTGGTAGCTACTGCGTTTCATGGTTTTGTTTTCTTTTTTTTATGTCACCCGTAACAAATGTATCGAAGAATCTCACAAATGTTAATTTTTAATGATCATGACAACAGTCTGTTCTTAGAACTCAGAATTTGGTTTTATTCCTATTTTGTTACTGAAAAATCTCATGCGCTGAACTGCTGGGGGGAGGGAAGGTCTGTGGCTTGATTTAAAACACGTGTGCAGTGAGTGTGGTTTGGTTTAACCGCAGTGTCTGTCCACGGTGAGTTCGGGGACAGCACACGGCCGAGCTCTTCAGGTGCAAGCGGTGGTTGTGATCAGAGCCCCAGCAGCAGCTGCGCTTGCGCTTTGGCTCAACTCCTGCTCAGTTCGCTTTTCTTACCAGGCAAAGTTAGAATGCTTGTGGGAAGTAAAAGCGGACACAAAAATAAGGAGGAAGAGAAATGACAAATATATGCATCGCTAGCAGTGACTGACGGGCACTTGGGGGAAAAACCTTGGTCCTTGTCTTTGAAGTACTCTGGAATTCATCGGTTTGAATCGGTTTGAAGCGTTGAGGTGGGACGGAGTTCAGAGCTGATAGTCCTGGGGGCATCACGCTGCACAGAGAAGAGCTGTTCCCAGGTTCTGGGGTTATAGCAAAGCTCTTCTGGGGAAGGCTGCTGGTTTTTTAAAATTGATTTAATGATCTTAGGTCCCACCTGCTGATCTCTGCGTCCTGCACCTGCAGTGTTACTATGTGGTAGCAAGGGAAGAGAGCAGTGGCTTGAGAGAGCTTCCCTGCTGTTTAACTTCAAGTACAGCATCACATCCGTAACAAGAGTGCGGTACATCGCCGAGAGAGATGAGAAGCGCAAAAGCCCCGGTGTTTACTTGGTGATTCATGGCATTTCTTCATGAAGTGCGTATTGCAGGCCTGTGCTAGAGAGCTTAAAGGATGGAGTAAAGCTGCACTCATCCCAGTGTCTACTAGTTGTTCTGCTGAGAGACAGTATAACCAGTGCCTGAGGTAATTGCCCTTATTACTAACAAAATAGTTGCCTTTTTTGTGCCTGCTGAAGAACACTCCATCTTGTCATCTGCCACGGGGAGCTGTGAAAAAGAACTCCTCCCCCGGAGCCCTTGTGCCCACCCTCTCCTCACCTGGCAGTGCTTAAGGCCAGAGCAGCTGTGCCTGCGCTGCACCAGCAGTTCCCCTGCTTCTCCGAGGTACCTGGAAGAACTTCGAGCTGAGGTAAGTGTGAGTTCATCCTTACTTTTATGCACAGTATCAGAGCCTATAACTTAAAAAACGTACCTTGTATTCAAAGTGTCTTAAAAGAAGTTATTTCAATGTTTTTAATTCATTCAAGTCACAAATTTTGTCTTGCTAAAAAGAGGTCATGGGCTTGAATTTTTCAGCATCTTGATTTGGTGTATAGTCACAGAAAAGATATTAAGACCTTCTGGTTTAATGGAATCAGTTGACTCTCGCTTTCCTAGACTCTCTGTTTTGTCCTTGGACGAATCTCTTGCTAGTATGCATTTTTAATATTTTAAAATGTAGTATTGGGAAGCAAAAATCCTCCATGCTTTGGAACACAAAGGATAGAAATAAAAGCTGCTGTTTTCCAGAGCAGGACAGAATGGTTTCCAACTCCTGGATGTGTGACAGTAAATGGGGATAGGGGAATGAGTCTGTAGTTGTACAAATAATGAGCCGTAATAGTCTTAACCTTCTAGAGACCGTTAGAAAAATCTAATACAAACTTTTGTGCATTCAAGATGAACTCTTCATGGGTGGGACACAAGGTTTATACAAGAAGGTCTTGTTTCCCAGGATCACAGCTGTCCTGTATTCTCCCGGTATCACTGAGCATTGTTAGGCAGCCCATTTGAAAACTTGGTTTGTGTAGAGTGTAACTCAATTAATTCCAATATTGACCCAGAACCACATTAATTATATCTTGGCCTTAATCATTGTTGGCTCCAAGCTAAAAGGACAAATCATTTTTCATTGATGTTAAAAATCTGCCTAGTGCTAATGTCATCATAGAGTGGCGCACTGTGGAGCATATAGTGCTAAAAACAAAGACTCGCTGTATACACAGCATTTCCTTTGAAACAATGAGTTTAATTACAGTGTATGAGAGCGCCAGATACTGACATGGTAATTTAACTATTTATAATGTGTATGAAGAAATTCAAAAGGATCTTCAGCTTGTGACCAAGCGTGTGGTAGTTTTATTATGGAGCACACTCAACTGAAAGCTAAGTCACTCCAAGGGAAAGCACTCATTAGCTGTGTTTCTTTGATACAGTTAATTATTTTACTGACACCTAGAGTGCTAATTAATTGCCTGGCCTCACAAATTGGAGATCGGTGCCTGTTGCTCCAGAGAGGAAAGTTAGCTTTCGGCAGCCATGGCACTCCCCGTGTGTGCTGTGTTCCAGGGCTTTCCCCAGGCCTTAGTCCTTCGCTGCGTGTTGAATGAAAGTTCGACATCAACCAACTGCAAAGCTGTGAGTGCTTCGCCAGGACTTAATCTGTGACTCGGGTCAGAAAACATGTCCTGCTGGGAGAGAGGATGCCCCCAGGGCGCTGCCAGTGCTACAGGTTACCCATGTAGCACCAGCGTCATCGTCTTGTTGAAGTTCTTGGGGAACATGAGCCAGACTGCCCTTGGACTTGCTACGACAGGTGACCTCTTTGTTTTAGCAGAACATCAGTACTAGCAGAATTTTAGGATGCTTTTTTCATTTTCATGCACAGTCTTAAGCACAGCGCTGTACTTGCCAGTTCAGTAATAACAGATGGAAGTCAAACTACTGCTGGGGCCAAAGGATATCTTGGGTTGACTCCCACCCACAGGCAGTTCAGCTCTGCCACCACTGTCACATGCTGTGCTGTGCTCCTGCAAATGTTCATCAGCTGTGGTCCTTCCAATAAATTGCAGCAAGCTGCACCACATCTGAGCACCTGAATTTGAATTACATGATCTGTAACTTTTTTTTTTCCCCCAATAACTATAGCTCTGTAAGCTTGTGGGGGTTTTTTTTAGAAATAGTAATAGTTGATGGCTCTTCTGTATGCAGACTTTGAATTTCGGTGTTTATCTAGGCTGTATGTGGTCAATAGAGCCAAATGGAAATACTGTTGTGATTGAAATCTATTTTGTCAGATGTAGTAGTGCCTAAGAATTGCAGAGACAAAAGCTGACAAGGGGAAGGGTTACCACCAGCATCCAGATTTCAGAGTTCAGTTAAGGCTTCGTTCCATTTTTGTGTTGTGTGTGTATCTAAGGCAAGAGCATTGATATCATGTAGAGCCTTATCTGGAAACAGTTTATGTTGTCTTTAAAGCAGTGATCAGGCAGATGGGCAGGATGCAGCACTTGGGGTCTGAGTCCGCTGAATTTCTTCGAGTCGGAGCAGTTCTGTCTGGGTGGTCTGCTTTGGAACAAGCTGATTGTTTTGCTACCTCATTGAAGTGTGATACCTGAATTATCAGGGAAGGCTGTGGCAGAAGTTTGGTGCTGAACTAAAATGATCTTTGTTACTGCATTTCCCTGCAGCGTTTTGTAAGTGTAGATAAGATTATGATTCTCTGTTGTTCCTTAGCCCTTTACTGAATATTTAGCGTGTTATTAAGCTGCCTTCGCTGTCTTTTATTGAATTGGATGGACACTGGCATCAGCGTGTATTGCATCTGAGGGCCTTTTGTATGTGAAATGTGTTTAAAAGGCAGAGTTCCTCCAAGATCCTGCCCCTCCTGACTCAGTATTTTTAAATTACATCTTTATAGGAGAGGAAATTCACCCTTTGGTTAAGGTGCAAAGAGAAACGTTTTAACTTTAGTCATTCCTACAGAGTAAGTTTACACTTTGTATAAGGTAATGCAGTTTGCAGGGTGACAGTGGGTTTCTGCAGTGGAAGAGCAGCCCCAATAAATAACTCCTCTGTGCAGATAGTTCAGCTTCTTTGTAGCTTCAACTGTGTAACCTCCGGATATAAAAATATTATGAGAGCAAAACGCGAAAGAAAACAAATGGGACGCCCTGTGAAGGTGTGTCAGCTGCACTATCCCACCTTTCTTGGTCGCTGGGAATTGTCCTGCTTGCTTGCTTGATTTCCTCGCCCAGGCTTTGTGTCGATGCCTTTTAAATTGCACACTTGCAACTGCAGACAGAGAAATATGCAACACACCTGTAGTGACCTGCCTTGACTACACAGCGAGTAAAATGCAACTGAGCTTTCCACCACTTCAACTGCCTGTCAGCTCAAAACATAGAAACTACCTTTCTTCCTTCTGACAATTTATGTCTTGTTGGATAGGCTCGCTTCTACAAACAGGCTGAGCTTTACATGTTATTCTCAATTCTGTGAAATAATTATTTTTTTAAAAAAAACTGTGGATATTTTTAAAGAAAAAAAAACCAACACATTTTTCCAAAATAGGGAATTGACATTTTCAGTTCTCTGTTCTGTTTATCTCCTCAACTCTCTGTTTAGACAGTGGTTAATCACAGAATGGGTAAAGTAGGAAAGGACCTCTGGAGATTCTCTTGTCCACCTCTTCTTGGACTAGACCATAACATTAGGATCAGCTTTCCTCTCATCCCCTTCTTCTCTCCTAAAAATGAGCCACAATGGCAAAACTCTTCAGTTCTGGCATAACACTTCCATTTCTATTATATTTGTTAATTTTTGTACTCAGATGATAGATTATAGCTGTACAAAATTAGAAAATACCAAGTACTAGCATAAACACAGAAGCACTTTTGTTCCAATCAATTTCAGTTAAGAGTTAGACCCATTATTCTCCTTGGGACCTGCAATACAGATGTGAAACTGTTGATAAATGTCTTTTCAGGTGGAACTGATCCTGAGGAACCAAGGAAGAGTGTTTTCTTTTCGAAGAGCTCATATAACCATGCAACTTTTACAGCCAGACAACAACAGAGGGCAATAGATCTCTATGAAACATCACGTCTTCAGAAGGGTTTCCACTGGATGACGCTGATGGCAGTTCTGGCAGCTCTGGTCACTGCCTCGCAGGGATCACTCAGGCATCGCTGAAACGTATCTGTATGACCCAGGAGTGTCTTGCGGCCCTCTGGTACCTCAGCCAGCATGGTGAGGGCTTTGATTGCACTCAGACGGGCTTTGCTTGTTTCCTCAGCAACTAACTTCAGTAAAGGTGGAATGGCTTCAGCACCCAGGGCTGCGAATCTCCCTGTAGAGAAATAAATGGGCTTTAAAATGTGATATTGCATACAATCAACATGCTTTTGAATTGCTGCTTTCTGCTGAACACCCCAGAGGGTGCAGTGCAAATAGGTAGGGCATGCTTTTCCTTTGAAGACCGAGGCTAGCTGCCAGCTGTTTATTTTTAAGAAAAAAGATCTTTCTTAGTTAACTTGCACATTAGTTAATCCTTGCACATTATTATTTCATTTGCAAGAAATTATCTAAGAATATATGAGGCACCAAATGATAGGATAAATTATTTTTTTTGGAAGAAGGGGAGTTAGATGCCCTTAAGAACATTCTCCGTTCTTTTATTTTTAAAGATGCTTCAAAGACTGAGATCCAGTTCTGAGTTGTCTTTGGAAGCCAGGGGAGTGGTTGCAGAGGAGGACTGGAACACAACTACTGTTATTAAGGGACTTTTATGTCTAATTACTCATTCAATGCACTGAAAATTTAGCAGTTAGTATTTTCAGTGTCACATAAGTTACTTGGGAGAACTGCAGACCTTATTAATATTCATTCCTCTCCCAGCTGTGAGAGAGAAGCTGCCTCTAACCGCAAAGAGACTTTCCAGAAAGTAGTGCTCCTCTGCTGAGGACCAGTGGTTCAGAGCAGCTTCAGGTACGTAGATATGTGTGTGCTCTGGACTTGCACTGTACATGTTCCTCTCTGGAGGGAAATGACGCAGGTGGGGTAGATAAATAACTTCTTGACCTGCTTCAGGTGAATGACATGTGAAATATGCTGCCCCCCTCCCCGACACTGTGGGAGCAATAATAGTTGCTCGAGACCGGTATAAAGAAATGTCATAATTTTGTAGTTTCTTGAAGAGCATTAACACTATCAGAAACTGAGGACTTGGTGGGTAAGGGGACCAAAAGTTTTGTTAGAATTGGATTTCTGGAAAGTATCCCGACAGAACTGCCTCTGTCTCTCACCCTGAGGTTTCACAGTAGCAAACATCAGTGCTCCCGCTGCACTAGCTTGAACTTCAGGATCTGTGTCTTCCAGCAGGCTCACCAGCACTGGAATAACTTCTTCCCACAGCCTGCTTTTTCCCTCGGGATGAGTGCTGTGCAGAAAAGACAGTTATGGTCCTGAATAGTGTCTGCCAACCGTGCAGCCACCCTCAGCTTCTCCCCAGACCCAGACCCCTGCCCCTGGTGGACTTTATCTCTTCTTGCTGATACAATACTGATGGTATCATATTGACCTATATGTGTGGGCTTCACAATTTTTAGGCTATTTTTAGGTGATGTTTGACTGTTGGGGTTTTTTTTGTTGTTTGTTTGGTTGATATTTTTACTTTCTATGATACATTGGAGATTGGGCACCAGCATGTAACAGGATGTAGGATTAAGTATGCTGGTGGTTCTAATAGCAATTTAGTTAGAAACTTGGCTGTTGAACACTATACAGGTTTTAAAACCTGCTAAATTAGGGCTATGCAACTAATTCTTCTCGCAGGTCAATTTTCTCTTTCTTTCCAGCCTCTCTAATGCACGGAATATTTAATGTGGCCCATCTACTGCAGGCACCTACGCGTAGCTGATGTCCATACTCCAGCTGCATTTCTGTTTTCTTGCTATGATTCATGTTATCTCTACTCTTGTTATAAGACCTTGCTTTATTATAGGATGATAAGAAGTGTTTTCTTCCAATTGGTATGTGAACTGCATGATCTGCGGACCTTTTTAAACTGACATCTGTTGGGCGCTTTTATTTTGTGATTGCAGGACAGGGGACTTAAGTTGCTAATTTCATCTAGTGTTTGATACACAAATTTAATATAAAGATTTATTTTTCTGAGCCATCATTGATGTATGCGGCAGCCCGGCAGATAACTGTTTCTGCCCTCAGTCATGCTGAAAGTTTCACAGGACCTTTAATGTTTTGAGAATGGTTGTCAAAAAAATTAAGGGAGATTCTCCCTACCTCTGTAGTGGTCAGAATCCTGTTTTCACTGACTTCTCATGCAAGATTTTTTTTCTCAGCAGTGCTGTGCCAGGAGAAAATCCTGGTTTCACTGCCAATACTGAAGACAAATAGAAGGAGAAGGAAGGACATTTCCTGATCAGCATCTGCTTTTTCTAGCGATTTAGAGCAGTTGTTACAATTTTTAGGTCTTCTACCTATGAGCACATTCGGGCTGATAATGCTTTTTGTGTGAAATGTGACAACTTCAATGTGCAGTGGAACACAACTGTCAACTGTTGACACGGATTCACTCATGAAATGAGTATTTTCTTGGACTTAAGTATTATAGAGAGATTTCTTTTCCTTTACCCAATTTCTAACAGGGCCCAAGCTGCTTTGCTTTTAATGGCCACTGATGTGTGTGTGAGCTTTTCCTTCAGGATAGCAATGGCACCAGTTGCTAGAGCTTCAGAAGCCTCCACACGTAGAGAGTTGGAGAGTGTGTCGAGTATTAGCTCCTGGATTTCATCTGGCTCAGTCTTCAATTTGGATATGAGTAAGGGAATCAAACCGGCGCGCAGTATGCCAACAGCCCCTACAGGAGAGACAGAGAAGGAACATGGGTGGGGTGTGAGTGCAGTTACTGTTTGTAGCTGCACTCTGAATTTCTTAACAGGTTCAAAATACATATGGTAATGGATTTCCTTATGCAGATGTGGGATTGAGATATGGAAACTACTACAACACTGCTCCATTTGTAAAGGCCATCTTAGCATTGCTTTCTCAGGAAGCTTCCCCAACAGTGCTGTAAAGACATCAGCTCAGGTAATAACCAAAATGGCAATTGCCCTGATGGTCCTAGTTTCCCTCACTACAATATTTTTTCCCAAAATTATTTTTGCTACATAAGGTAGAGGGGGAAAAAAAAATATATGTCACCTTATATCCAGCCTTTCTAAATGTTCTCAACATGAACAGATGCTAAGAGAGGCTGAGACGTGAGCCTTTAAAGTCAAGATTTTGGAAACTGTCAGCTTCCTCACACATTCCTTTGTAGTAGTTCTGTCATGAGGAAAATTAAAATTTTGAGCTTTCCAGCAGCCAGTACTCTTGCACTATCTCCTAAAGGAAATAGCATCAAAGGGAGAAAGATCGTCATTTGTCCTGCAAATGATATCTTTGCTATGAGCAAGTGTCTGATTTGTGCCATCTCTTACGCTTTACTAAGTCAACACTGAAACAGTGATGCCATGGGAAAGCAGAAAGCAGAACGTGCTGTCCATGAGTAACTACGTGAAAACAAAATTCTCCAGCTGTCTTGTTGCTAAGACTGATCCTTTGGTTGCTAAGAGAAATGTGGCTCCTTTCAAAGTGATTCATATATGTTAGATAAGGAAGTTTTGTAGATAAGTCATCAAGGTATTTTCAAATGAATCCCCACAGTCAGGGATGAAGTGGTAGTGTAACAGAAGACTTTGACAATCGGCTGAAAAACACGATTCTAATCTAGATGTTATTCTGTTGTACATAGTTCTTAGATTTTGCTGATGTTGAGTAACTTTTCACGTGACTAACTTGCTAGGATCCACTGTACTAATGCTAAGGCATGGAAACACCTAGGGGCGATACTGCTACAGCTTTTAATACCTGTGCTATATCTGGAGGCCAGTTGCTGTGAGAATTCAAAGAAATAATGAGGAAAAACAGATTCAGACAATTCACTCTTCAAGGATGACAACATTTTCAAGACAAGGATATCTCCTTGTGCCAGAAAGGCAAAGCAGGAAAGTGAAAAATCTTCGAAGCTGTAGCTGTGTATCACCAGATTGGGGGGGTTGATATTTTTGCAATAAGAAAAAACCTCAACTCTATGTCTCCTGGAAGAATGGAAAGAAGAAAATTCTTAAGGATCAGCTCCAGCACATCCATACTGTCCCCACAGAAGGGTGTGTTACAGGAAACCGCGCTATTGTCTAGCACAAGACTTTTGGAAAGGTCCTCGAGAATGAGGCGAAGCTTGCACAGCTGCCCCCATCCCTCAGCGCTGACTCCTTTGACAAGGGTTACAGGTGTTTGGATGGAGGGGTATCGTACAGCAGGGTGACGGGTGGGTTAGACAACGCTCAGGGCATGACTGGGAATTCTCCATGTCTTGGGGAGTCCCAGGCAGCAGGGAACGCCCTAGCAAAAACTGCTCCCGTGGGTGTAGCTTAAAGCAGTCTCAGGTAACTATAAAATCATATCCAGAATGGTTTAGCCACACTTTTGAAATAGCTTGCTAAAGACAAGATTCTTCAAAGTTCATTTTTAAAAGTTCTCTCCAAGTTTTTAATGAAAAGAGAATATATGGTCTGTGTGCATGAAACTGGGATAGCCAGACTGCTCACAGTCATTGTGTACGCTTCTAAATTCTAAATAAGGGGACCGGTTAGCTCAGTGGTTTGAGCGCGCTGCTGGCAACAATGACAACACCGAGGTCACGAGTTCGATTCCCGCTCGGTCCCCATGTGTTGCCAGGTCTAGTCGAGAGGTGGCGTCCCTGCCTATGACAGGGAGGTTGGACTAGATGATCTCTAAGGTCCCTTCCAGCCTAGGCCATTCTATGATTCTGGATACTGTGGTAATCAGTATTAAATCAAAATTTGGGAGGTACAATTTCAAAGGAAGATTAATGAATTGGAGATGAAAGACTTATAAGGTGACATTCCCTGTAGCAAGTACCTATTTATTGTACGGTTGCTTTGCCACATGATTTGTGATGCTTTAGAACCAAACCCACATCTGGGACTACTTTAAAGTAATTTCATTCTTTCTAGATAAGATAAGACATTGAATGTAAATGTAAATAAGGGTAGCAAATAACTGAGGTTTAAACTCCATGCTCCTCCAGAGCCTTTGTGTAGCTTTAGTTCACATTGATACCAGTCTTCCTTGGGACGGTGTTTCATCGTACCATTTCATAAGCGAACGCTTGTTCTTGCACAGGGCAGTCACTCTTCTGGCCTGAGCCAGGAGAAACCATTCCTTGCTTTAATTTAAGTTTCCATCTTTCTGTAACAACTACCGCTATTGTGTTGTGTCTACCTTTCCCGCACTGGTAGATGCACTTTTTTCTTTCCCAGACAGGTTTCCATTACTATTTTTTGCACTTGCTTTCAAATATTTAAGAGCCCTTTTTTAACCCATCATCTTAATTTCCATTTTTAGTATCCTGCAATTCCCTCTTTTTCAAGATTTCCTTGCTAACTTAATTCAATTCTCTATCATATTGCTGGTATGTGCTATCAGCTTTCAGGTTTCACTTCTTTGTGGCTGTCTTTCACTTATCTTCTATCACATTCAACTAGACAGGACTGCTTTCATTGGCCCTTCCAGTTTCTTCCTTCCAGTTAATGTTATTGCATTTATTTGCACTTTATGTCATCTTTTGGTGCTGGCCAAGATAATGTAGAGAGTGTTGTTCAGGATAGCTTTTATTTGGTGGAGCCATTAAGCAGTATTTACTCTATGGTCAGAAATCCCCATGTAGCTAGTGGGTGCTTATTTTGTGTGAACGTTCAAGCTGTTTTCATTTTGAAAAGATATGTTTTATTTTACCAGACCAGGTCTCTGGACCAAGAATGTCTTATCTGCTGTTTTTGTCAAGCTTCCCTATCTGCAATGCTACCATCCTACTAAAGAGAGCTTCCCAGATATAAATATAGAAACAAAGATGAATTGTTTGACCTTGTCAAAAGTCTCAGTGTGGTGAAGAGAAAGAGGGTGGAGAGGAAAGGCCACCAACAGCAACAAAAAGAGACTACCTAACACTGAGACTGAAGCTTCCAGCTGGAAATTCGTCATGGTTTTCCCAAGGGAGTCAAATGGTGAAAGGTCTGGGGAGGGAAAAGGGAGGAGTCAAAACCAGTGGGAAGTTGTCTGAGAGTTACTTGTAAATTAGAGCACTTGCATCTTACTGAGCAAGCCGTAGGAAGGGAAGGTAAGCTGGTGTTTCTCGCAGTCCTATACAGAAAAAGTGTGGCGGCATCACAGGATCTTGACTTTTCCTTAAAGCACTGCCCTTTCAGAGGTGATTTATCTATTGCAGAGAGTGTTCTAGATATCCTGGGCATAGCGAAGTAAAAGGGAAAAATGCTTTCAAAATGCAAATAGTTGCATTTGCAGCTGCATAGTTAACATCATTATTGATCTGTTTTTCCGAGAACTTGTAATCTTCCCTCGGGCTGCTTTTTATCTGAGCGCTCATCTCTTCCTTCTCATAACCCTCTGCCCATTCTCAACCTCCCTTTTCTGCCTCTTTCTTTTCAAACAGACCCAAAGATGAGTTGCGATTTATTCTGTTCACTCAGTATGGCTGCAGGGCATGCAAACAAATTAAATTTTCTAGAAGACAAAGAAGTCATTTATAGTACATAACAGCGGTGTTTTGTTTTGGTTTTCTATTACATAAATCAGTCAAATCACATTACAAATCCTTTTCCTTACAAATGTCAGTTTTCAACTCAAAGCCACTTAAATGTTTGGTTTAGTACCAGGCATGTGCCTCATGCGTGGTCACAGAGAGGTAACACTCTTGTATAACCTAGCAAACGAGATGTGAACACTGATCTCATGTAAAATGATTGTTTTGTTAACACCTCAGATGTCTCTCTGTGATGGTCACACAACCATCTGAAGTGCTTAGTACCAGAGTTCCTACTTGGGAAGGGGCACACGAGGAAAAGCAAAGCAGGGCCAGACCCAGTGGGAAGGGCCGATGCTGCCCAGCATCATGGGCTGCTGTCAGGACATCCAGACCCGCGGCGGGGAGCTCGCTGCCCGAGCAGCCAAACAATCCTGACAATTTCTAGCCCTGGCAGCTCCCTTGCTAGCACTGTAATAGTTTAGCGCCACTTTAGAGGTAACAAAGTGTGTGTTTAGACTAGTGAGCTCTAGTATGTATTATATGTGTTTAAAAGTGCAGTGCTTGTATAATGTTTCCCTTCTGAGTGACAAGATGACCATAGAAGATCCTTCCCTGGCACACCTTCCTTAACTTCTTGCTCACTGCTGTTTAAATTGAAAAAAACCCCCCAAATTGAAAAAACCCATAAACCTGTAGTGCCCCAAAGGATGTCTATGCCTAGAGACAAAGAGTATCTTGTATTTTAAAGGACAGAGAGGTGGAAAGTCCCTGGTTAAATGAACTGGAGAGCTACCAGGATATTAAGAGAACCAAGGAAAATGCTGCAAATACTGGTATCGGACTAGTAAACAGTCCTATTTCAAATAATTTCAAATCTGTGCATTGCCTCAATGCATTTATCTTATGACAGCCCTCGGGATTTACCAGGTATAAAATCACGTCAGTAGCAGTGTCTGTCCTATACTCACTAAAAATACAACAGATGTAAACTTTTTAAAGCATTACTGCATCTGCTTTTGAAGTCACTGACAATTTTTCCAGTACTGAGCATTTTGGTGTGTTATGTGAATGAAAGGCATAACAGAAATTACGGTGTTAAAAATACTAAAAAGTCAGTAGTACACTGGAGAAGCACATAATGTGGCTGTCTCTGGGGATCCTTTAAAAATCTATAATGTTTCCACCATTAA